CCTGCTGAAGAGGATAAGCGCTATCTGGATGGAGTGAAAGCTGATTTCTTGGCAGACACACTCTTCCTCTTTTGGGGGTTATCCCATTGCAAATAAACCTCCATTGCCTTCTAGCTTCACCTTGTGCCATCTTTTCCTAGGTGGTTTGATCAGCATCCTTCCGGTCGAGTGGGACATGATGGAACCACACCAAGAGCCTAGGCCTGGAGGCTGCTGGAAGCACTCGGAACCCATTTTTCCACATCAGACCTCCTGGCAGAGCCGGCTCAAGTCTCCTCAGAGAGGGATGGCATTTAGGCAGGTGTATTATGTTGGACTAAGTTAGGGTGGGAGTGGGGAACTAGGAAAGTTCTGATTTTGGGTGGCTTGGGACTGAGATGAGTCCATGGGGAACTTTGGGAAAAAGAGAAACGTATTCCTCTGAGATATGTTACCACTGAAGGAGAATCTGTTCCTAGTATCCACCCTATGCAAGAGCCATTCCCCCAAATCCTGCTTTGCCTATGCTACTTCATGGCTGCTTCTTGGACTATGACCAACTCCCAGACAGTTATATCTGTAGACCCAATCTCCCCATATGTGCTCTCAGCCTGGGACAACTTATGGATTATAGCTGAAGATGTTATGCATTACCTTTTGTGCCAGGTGGTCCTGCTTTCCCGGGATTTCCCTGGGCTCCCATTTCTCCTACAAAGAAAAGCTCTGTTTACGTAGGCACGTTGCAAATTAACTAGGGAGATGATACAAAAGCCAGGGAAGCTGGTGCTTGACTTCTGCAGACACAAGGAAGCTGATTTTGTTAATTAAAATAGATTTTACAACAGATCTCACACTCTATCTTCTACTAAAGCTACACGACATAGGTACTTCCAGTGAAAGGTGCTAATTTGTAGTTCATGTACGAATTTCTGTGATCCTTGCACATCTTGGCTTTTGCCATGTGGAAGCTGCTGCCGTGACTGAAGTGATTTGCTTCCCCCGTAAGTTGGCTGTGAAAACCCTAAGGGACCTCCCTCTCCCTTGCTACCTGGAGTAGGAGTGCCAGTACAGTTCCCAAATGACACGGGTTCATAGCCCCATGTAGACATACAGGAGCATCCCAGACTTACTCCCACTCTGCAAGGCCTCTGCTCTCCAACAGCTACTCTCAGCTAGTGTGTCAGCTCCACACCCCAGACTCCTTCTAGCCTGCAGGTTGTTTCACAACAAAGTAGACTGATGAATAAAGGCTCAAAGAAGAAATGGATATTTTTAAAAGAGAAAAGTGGGTTATGACATTTCATGCCTCAAGGCCTCTTCCGACCTATGACAGGACTCGGGAGAGAAAGATACTCCATGTGTATCAGTACACTTCTAGCTAGGGTATTTTCCCCTTCTATTTGACTCTCCAGCTCTTCACAGAAACCAGTACTAGGCTAGCCAGTACTCCAGCTTCAGTTTCACCCTACTTAAAGCAATAAAACAGTCTAATATGAGAATATTCATTGCTGGCTTTTGAAACTCACCTTTTATTCCTGGGAGACCTGGTTCTCCTTTTGGGCCAGAGGCACCTGGGATCCCTGGACATCCTTGGAGGACAGCAAGCCGGTCAGCATCACCCAGCCCCACTATTCTTACACCTGAGGAAATGAAGACAACCATCATAGAGATTATTAGGATTTTGAAATGTCTTGGAGAGGAAAGTGAACTGTTTGGGCTTTGGGAATAGCACAGGCAAAAGCAGTATCCCTCCTGAGTTGAGGATGGGAGCTTGGAGTTTGGAGTTGTCATGTGGATTAACAAATGGCACTGAGGAACTCATGTATTGGAGGAGCTGGGCAAAGGTGCAAAGCAGAATTTGGGCAACTCTACTGTATCTTTTTCCTCTTCTACTGTTTTATTTCTACAAAAATTACTGATTCTGAAATCAGTAATTCAGGGAGCAAACTCCCTATCCCAAATCTGAAATCAGTCCTAGCCACCCATATCTGGGTGTGGAACTCTCTGTTCTAGGTGCTGCACAGAACAGAAATGAACAGCTTTTCTCTGCCGAACAAACACTTGCAAACTACCAGAACAAATTCTACTTTCACTTTTATTGGTGCAGCTCCACTGACTTCAGTGTCAAGTCTGATTTCTGCTAACATCATATTTTCTTTTCATATCAATAGGAACAAGCTATATGTTCCTTGTGTGTTCTTTGGATACCTTCTGCAGTTGATAACCCTGTTTTCCTTCCGCAAAAGTGGCCAGTAATCTTACCATAGTTTAATTATTTTGAACAGTATCTTTGAAAGGTAAAAGGCACCAGGTTTATTAAATCATCTACAAGAAGCCTTTGTGCCAGGGTTTTCCACCTTCTCAATTATGTTATTGGATACCACCCAAACTCCCTGGGACGATCAGTACTATCAAGATGGTCAAAAGAAGGCAGACTTTATGGCATGCCTGTAAAATACCTATGGGCACTGCCTGACAGGGATTTCTATCAGCACTGACGCACTGGCAGAGGTACAAGAAAGGTGATCACACCAGCAAGCTCCCTGTCCCAAAGCGCAGGTGCAGATAAAATGGAATAGCTTCTTGTGTCTTGAGGGTAGTAGGATCTGTAGGATGTGTGGCTTTACTGCTGTGACAGCATTTGTGTTAGAAGAACTGGTTGACCTTCAGGGACAACCTCCTCGAAGTACAAAAATGGTCCACTGCAACATGCATGTTGTTGGACATGCATGGCAGGAAGCCAACAGAGGGCTCAAATGCAAAAGGAGTGCCCAGAAGATGGGAGCAGGACAAGCACCCAGAGGAACAGAGAAACATGGTGTTATGGGATGGTGTTAGGAAGTCCAGAGCTCAGCTGGAGCTGTAACTAGTGAGGGATATGAAGGACACCAAAAAGGCTTCTGTATGTACATCAGCTGCAAAAGGAAGTGTAAGAAAAATGTGGTCCCACTGCTCAGTGGGGCAGTATGCCTAGTGCCAAAGAACTTGAAAAGGCCATTTTTGTCTTGTTTTTCAATGGCAGGGTTTGCCATATTCCCATACACTCCCATAGGGACACTCCCATATTCCAGTGTCTGTCCCTGTACAGAGTCAGTGGGAGCAAAATATTGGCTACAGTCCACTAAGACTGAGCTAAGGATCCCTCAAGTAAGTTGGACATACACAAGTCCCCAGGACCAGATTTGATGTACCCAAGGGTGCTGAGAGAGCTGGCAGATGTCATTGTGAGGCTCTCTACCCTCTTCATCAGGTCATGGAAATCAGGGATGTTTCTGATGACTGGGAAAAGGCAAATGTCAAAATCATTTTCAAGAAGGGCAAGAAGGAAGACCTAGGAAATTACAGGCTAGTCCGCCTAACCTTGGCCACTAGATACGTGGTAGAAAAATCCTTTCTAGAAGTCATTTCAAAGTGTACGAAGACAAGAAGAGGATTGGGAACAGCCAGCATGGATTTACCAAGGGCAAATTATGCCTGAACAACATGTTTGCCTTCTTTAAAAGAAGACATTATTGCTCTGGCTCTGTGGAGAAGGGAAGAGCAGCAGATGTTATTTACTGTAATTTTAGCAAGGCTGTTGACACAGTTTCCCATAGCATCCTTGTAATCAAAATGGTGAGATGTGGCTTGGATATACAGACTGAAGGGCGGGGTGGGTGGAGGGAACTGGGCTTGAAGAATGGAGGCAGACATTCAAAGTCCACCTGGCACGTGGCTAATATTGGCATTCCTCAGGGATTTATGCTGGGGCTAACACTGTTTAATGTCTGTATTAACAACCTGTATATGGGATGCAGCGCATTCTCAGTAAGTTCACAGATGATACCAAACTTGAGGGACTGATACATTGGAGGGCAGAGCAACCATTCAGAGGGACTGCGAAAGGCCAGAGAAATGGGATGACACAAACCTCACTTAATTCAACTATGGCAAATGCAAAGTCCTGCCCTGGGATGGGCTAAGAGGACATGTACCAAGGGCTAGCTGCCTAGAAAGCAACTTTGCAGAAAGGGCCCTGGGTGTCCAGAGGGCAAAAAGCTGAATCTCAGTCGGCAGTGTACCATTGCAGCAAAGGTGGCCAACAACACATGGAGGTATAGCTAATACCTTGAGGGAGGTCACTATTTCCACCTAATTCAGCTCTTATGAGACCACATCTGGAGCACTGGGTCTGTTTTGGGGCCCCTAGTACAAAAAAGATGTTGATAAACTGGATCAAATCCAAAAGAGCCCATGAAGATGGTCATGGTGCTGGAGCACATGGCACGTGAGGAGGGTCTGGGAGACCCTCTTTCAACCTGCAGGTCATTGAACCTGCAGAAGAGATGGTGAAGGGGAGACCTATGTTGGAGTTTGCAGTTACCCTTTATTTGACCCCCATCAGACTGCCCAGCCCTGATCGGGATTCCCACCAGTGTCCATTTAAACACTAGGGTCCCTGGCTGTCCATCACAGGGAACTTTCCAGAAGGGAGGCAGAAACCAGGCTCAGCATGACTATGCCCACAATTGGGCCTTGGCTATAAAAGGTGGCTGCTGGTGCTATGGGTGGGGCTTTTGGGGGCTGCTGGGGTTGGTGGTGGTAACAGAAGAAAGAGAAGAAGCAAGGAGCACGGCTGCGGGACAGCCTTCGTCAGGAGCAAAAGCACCGGATAGGAAGACCAGTGCTCCTTCAGTGCCTCCCCCCACCACTCCCTCCTGCTATGGGATGCCGGACCAGGACAAGCCCACTGGAGTTTGCCACTCCTGAGCAGCTGCACGAGGTGTTGTGAGTTCACCACTACGGGCTTTGTTCCTGGGGATCGGCATACCCCATTGGTGTGGCCGAATTGCAAATACGGGTTGTACCCAAACACAGTTTTCTACTGAGGATCAGCAAACCACCCCCCACCCCCACCTCCGGGTATGGCTAGATCACTTCTATGGGCTTTGTTCCCACCTTCTCTCTTTTTTTTTTAATAGACGCATCATTATCATTCATAATTTTATTTACTGTGGAACCTTATTTGCCTTGTTGTTTTTTTTTTTCCTGGGAGCGTCCACTAAATACCATTGTATATAGTTACTGTGTGTTCGTCTTGATTGTTTACCACTGTACACAGTTCCTGTATGTTTGCATTGATTGTTTAACTGAAATTAGTAAAGTTATATCATTTGTAAATCCATTGATCTGAGTATTGTAACCCTATACTCCCTAAATGAACCCAATTCTTCTATATTTGCTAAGTCGCGAGGAGAATAATCAGTTTTCCAAAATGCTCTTTAATTGATGCGGGCGCTCCTCTGCTATGGACTGGGACAGACCTTCTTTCTATCTACAAATGCCTAATGAGTTGTGGAGAAGACAGAGCCAGATTCTTCTCAGAAGCGCATAGTGACTGGAAGAGAAGCAATGGGCACAAGCTACAACTTGGGAAATTCTGATCAAATCTTTCAGAAAATTCTTTTTCTACCCTGAGGGTGGAAAAGGGAACCAGGGACCCACAGAGGTGGTGGGTTCTCCATCCATTCAAAATCAAATTCAACAACAACCCCGAGGTTCATGATATAAATTAATTGTGCCTGGGGCAGGGAGGCTTGGACTTGAGACCTCTAAAGTCCCTTCCAACCTGTGTGATTCTGTGATTCCCATTCTGGCACAGCACTCACAGAATCACAGAATGGTTGAGGTTGGAAGGGACCTCTGGAGATCATCTAGTCCAGGCCCCCTGCTCAAGCAGAGTCACCTACAGCACGTTGTGCAGGACCATGTCCAGGTGGCTTTTGAATTTCTCCAAGGATGGAGGCTCCACAACCTCTCTGGGCAACCTGTTCCAGTGCCCAGTCACACTCACAGTGAAATGTTTTTTTTCTTGTGTTCAGACTAAACTTCCTGTGTTGCAGTTTGTGCCTGTTGCCTTTCATCCTATCACTGGGCACCACTGAGAAGAGTCTGGCCCCATCCTCTTCATACCCTCCCTTCAGAAGTTTATACATATTGAAAAGATGAGCCTTCTGAGTCTTCTCTTCTCCGGGCTCAACAGGCACAGCACTCTCAGCCTTTCCTCCTATGAAAGATGCTCCAATCCCTTCATCATCTTAGCAGCTCTTTGCTGGACTCAATCCACTTTGCCCATGTCTCTCTTGTACCGGGGAGGCCAGAAATGGACACAGCACTCCACGTGTGGCCTCACTAGGGCTGAGCAGAGGGGGAGGATCACCTCCCTCGACCTGCTGGCCACACTCTGCCTAATGCACCCCAGGAGACCACTGGTCTTCCCGGCCACGAGGGCACATTGATGGCTCATGCTCAACTTGTTGTCCACCAGGACACACAGGTCCTTCTCTGCAGGGCTGCTTTCCAGCAGGTCAGCCCCCAGCCTGTACTGGGGCCTGGATGGCGTTATTCCTCCCCAGGGGCAGGACCCTGCCCCTCCCTTTGTTGACCTTCCTGAGGTTCCTCTCCGCCCAACGGCCTTCTGGCGTATCATCCACTCCTCCCACTTTTGTATCATCAGCAAACTTGCTGAGGGTGCACTCTGTCCCTTCATCCAGGTCACTGATGAATAAACTGAACAGTATTGGACACAGTATTGACCCCTGGGGTACGTCACTAGTGACAGGCCTCCAGCTAGACTTTGTGCCAATGACCACAACCCTCTGAACTTGTCTGTTCAGCCAGTTTTGAATTCACCTCGCTGTCTGCTCATCTAGCCTGCACTTCATCAGCTTACCTATGAAGATGTGATGGGAGGCTGTGTCAAACACCTTACTGAAGTCCAGGTAGACAACATTCACTACTCTCCCCTCATCTACCTGCTCCTGGCATGGCTGACCCCTGCTATATGATACCTGATGTAATACTCCTGCCACATTTTTGTCCCTGCATGGCTGAGGTGTAGCTTTGGCAACAGCCTGTATTAATGTCTGTGAGGATCCAGCTTGAGGTGCATGTAGGGGAGGAATTTTATACCAACACAGAATATCTGCAGCTTCAGAGGAGTTCAGTCTGAGAGGATGCTATATATATGACATCACATGCATGAGAAATGCACTATAGTTTAATAAAACAAAAGTCAAGAGATGCCATGTGGGATATTGACAGCAGAGACTATGTAGCATTGACAGATTTGTGAGCATTAAAGGCTCTGCCAAATTTCCTGACACCAGCTCAGTTTGGAGTTGCTGCTACCACCCTCCTAGAGAATATGGACAGAAAGCTACTTTAGGTAGTGTCCCCAAGCTGCCAGATTGTCTGACACCCAGTGAGCACTGAAACACTCCATTATATTGCTCTGCATCGTTCAGTAACTGGGGCAAGGCACCCCAGGTTGGGGTGGGATGGCTGCTGGGACTTCATCTTCTCTTGCCCTCCTCCCACCTGCAGCTGAATTAAAATGATGCATGGAAGGAAAATAATTCACCTCCAAGCTCTTTTTTATGGCTCTTGTGTTACAGAGCTAGAGGATGAAGCAGAGTGCCTCCTCAGGGAGACAGTGGGATTTGTGCCGCACTCACCTGGACAGGAGTCCTGGGCATCAGAAACCATCACTGTTAGGCTGAGCAGAGCAAGGAGGGTTGGGGCTGTCCTCCCCATGGCCAGCGCTGTCTGTGCTCTCTGCTCAGCTCCCCTCTTCCATGTCCCAGGCGCTGTGGTTAGCAGTTGACCCATCTAAGCCTCTTATATCGAGCACAAAAAAAAATCTAGCACTAAGCTCCACCTCTGCACTTTCCCACCACCTGCCCATCAAAGCTGGGAGTCTGGCGAGTTCTTGGGAAGCTGTTTCCCACATAAGCCATTTCCCAAAAGTCTGATGGGGAAAGTTCCTGCCTGGCTGTTCCAGCTAACCCCTCATAGGGCCTTAGCAGACTTCAGGTGTCTTTCCCCTCCCTTATTTTGTTTCCAGAGGAAATGAACTAGTGAAAACATACATTTGGTTAAAGTAGACAGCTCTTATGCTGCTGCCTGTTAGTGACACTTTCACAGAATGACAGAATCACAGAATCACAGAATCGTTTAGGTTGGAAGGGACCTCTGGAGATCATCTAGTCCAACCTCCCTGTTCAAGCAGGGTCACCTAGAGCATATTGCCCAGGATCACATCCAGATGGCTTTTGAATATCTCCAGCGAAGGAGACTCCACCACCTCTCTGGGCAACCTGTTCCAATGCTCTGTCACCCTCACAGTCAAGAAGTTTTTCCTCAGGTTCAGATGGAACTTCCTGTGGTTCAGTTTCTGCCCATTGCCTCTTGTCCTGTTGCTGGGCACCACGGAGAAGAAGCTGGCCTCATCCTCAGATACTTGTACACATTGATGAGATCCCCTCTCAATCTTCTCTTCTCCAGGCTGAACAGGCCCAGCTCTTGCAGTCTTTCTTCATAGGAGAGATGCTCCAGCCCTCTAATCATCTTGGTAGCCCTCCGCTGGACTCTCTCCAGGAGTGCCATGTCTCTCTTGTACTGGGGAGCCCAGAACTGGACACAGTACTCCAGGTGAGGCCTCACCAGAGCTGAGTAGAGGGGCAGGATCACCTCCCTCGACCTGCTGGCAACACTCTGCCTAATGCAGCCCAGGATCCCATTGGCCTTCTTGGCCACAAGGGCACACTGCTGGCTCAAAAAGCAGATCTTACTTTGCAGATGGGAGAGCCAAGACCATTAGCAGAAGCTATACTGCCTGACTCATGCTCCAGTGCTCTACCTGCCAGTCAGCACTTTGCAGCCCTTCAAACAGAGGTTTATAGGTGATCCAGGACCAATTTAGAGTTAAAGCTTTGTATGTCCAGGCAATGCTAGCTGGGCAGAACATGTATGTTTTTTTCCCAGTCCCTGTTCACTGTAATACTGAGTAGAATTTCAGTTTTGCTTTGCTGTTGCTATGCTGTGCACTCTGCTCATCAGTGGCAGAGTTATGTGAAGTCCAAACTGCCTGACTGAGTTTGATCCCCATGTTACCTTAAGACACAGAGCCCGTAAAGTTTATGAATTTTATCAGAGGGCAGTATTTTAGTTTTTTCTCTGTATTGCTGCATCCCAGTTCAGATGAGGCTGATTTCTTGGAGTCTTTCCCAGCTATTGGGATATCAGAGGCAGAACATAGCTTCCCCACATTTACTTTCTTTGTGGGTTCCTTCTCATATCTCAAACTACAGCCCAAACTCCTACGATAAGTGAAAGCCTGCTTTAATGTTAAGCAAATGGGAGTAAGCAGGAGAGAGGTAAGAAAAGTAATTGGTTGCCACTTAAATTCCTTATCCCCAAATAGTCAGTACATATACACAGACATATACTTGTGTGTATAAAATAATAATAAACCAGTAGATCTTTGATTATTGTTGCTTCTGAGACCTAATTCAGGCAGGGAAACACATACATCCCTCCCCTGCCCCTCTCTGAAAAAACTGCAGGGAAATGAGAGGGATTGTAATCAGACCAGTCTCATTCAGATTTGGGGTTTGCTTTAAGTGGGGGAAAAAAAACCCCTCATCTGTGCCAATTTCTGTGCATGAAATTCTTGAGGAGAATTGAGAATACCTTCTTTCTTCAGCCTTTCAAAAGGAGGGAGAAAAAGGTTGAGCAGATGCCTCAGCTGTTAGGGAGGGAGAGAGCTAAGCACAGCAGCTATAGGCTGACTAGGGACAGCGACATCCCCTCTTGTCTCAGTCATATGGCTCTGTGCAGTGCAAATGCTCCTGCAGCATAGCTGGTGCACCCTGATCTAGGTTGGCGTTGTATCTGCCTAAGGGGAGGCAGTGATGAAGAGCCAGCCCCTAGCACTGAGAAGCCTTCTCCTGCCAAGCATGCTGTAATAGCATGGGCTATGTGCCTGGCAAAGGCTGTAATACGTTATTCCAACTCGAGGGAGGCAGGCGCTCCTCCTCAGCTGTTTCCCCTGGTAAGTCACTCTAAAAAGCCGTGGCAAAACTAGCCTCATAGATTCACCCAAATTTATAAACTCTCAAGGGCTCCTGGTTAGATCTATCATGTGAAAAAAGTAAGAATGGGTTTGCCTAGCTTTTTCCAAGCTGCTCCTTTACAAGAGCAAAAAGTTCAGTGTTGAACTGAGAATGCGTGTTACGGAGGCAGTTTTGATGGATCCGCTTAGCTGTTACTGGCTGTGGATTCCTTCCAGCGTTGTGGGATTCTTGGAGATGTCGCCTCAGCTTTATCCCTAGGAGGCAACGCCAGTCCCTTGCTGCAATGTCCCTGTAAATGCAGCTACATTTGGGGGCAGGGGTGGAACTATCCACAAACAAGCTTATTCCAAAGTAGGTCAGGCCCCTGAGGGTAGATTTTGAAACTGGCGCAGTGATCAATGTGTCCTAAATTACTTTTCCTCATCTAGTAAAGATCTCAGAGGGCTTATCACTTATAGCATTAGCAATTCTTTTTTCTATGTAGATTCTTCCTTGACCCCTGGCAAATGACCCCACCTGTTCTATAATTCCAAGATCAGTTTTGGGATATGGTAACGGGAATTTGAAGCATTTTAGGAGAATGGGGAGGACCTCTGAACACTGCAACTCACCTCTTCACCTCTAGAGACATAAACGTCAAGACTGAAGTCCCCAGGATCGAACTGATCTGCAAATCCCCAAGAGAATAAGCTTAGCAAATTAGAAGGTGCAACCAAATGACAGAAGTGCCTCAAAAAGTGCATGTGGAAATACGATTACTGTGCCCAGCAAGTGATTTAGCACTGATGAATGCAAAATTGTACATGACACTCGGGGTCCCAGTGCAGTCCTGAGAGCTTTGCTATTAGCTTAGTTGCTGTCAGGATGCTAGAGCTTCACCGTGGAAATGGGGAAAGCAGCAAAGGCTATAAGCACCCCACATAACAAGCAGAAGAGCCCCAGTTGTTGCATTCCTCTGCTCTGTGCTAACTTAAGGACATTGCCCTGAGCCCCTCCTAGAGTTGCAAGAAAGGCTGACAGTTGGCATTGTGAAACTAGGAGGTAAACTCGGACAGCTGTGAATTTAAGAGATGTGAAATAAGAGCTCACTTGAGAGAGCTGGCACCACTGTGCACGCCGATGGCTGAGCTTCCATGTGCTTTGAAGGCTTGACTTGCAGGGAGAGTAATGATATCTGCAGGAAGGCTTGTTTTGAGAGGCTTGAGAGGGATGAGATTTCTGTGATAGCATTAGTGGTCGAGGGAATTTGTGGCTGGAAAACAAGCAGCATTTTTCACTCTCTCTCTTTCTCCTTCCTGTATTTCCCAGACTGAAAAGTGGGGAATCCTCCTGGAAATTGTGCCCACTCATCTGACCTCTGAAAACTGGCTGCAGTCAGAGAGACAGATGGACAGGAGACGCCAATATCTCACTAGCATACCACAGCAAGCTCTCCCAGCCTCATTTTGGATCATTGCAGAGCATTTCAGCAGGTGAAGAGAACTCATTTTTCTTCTATGGCCAAATCGTATATAGGGAAGCCCACCTGGAAATAGTTAAACACCCCTAGAGGCAAAGAACTTACTCCCTGAATTAAACGCCTATCCTACTTGATTGGATCAGCCTGCTAATCCCATTGGACTTAGCTGGGCAAATAGTTAAGCAGCTGGACTCAGATGGTCTTGGACAGGAAAGTCCTCCCAGATCCGTGCTTTGAAGAGAGAGCTGTGAAGCGCTAGCCTTACCTGTGCTCTGGCACAGGTTTTGTTAGTGTTTGGAGACATTTGCTGCAGCCCCAAACTTGCACTGGCTGGGATTTATTTCCTCTCTTACAAGATTAGTCGCATTTCAGTTAGCAGAACAGGTTTTACCTTTTCTGTGAACATAACTGAGATCACCTTACCTCCCTGCATTACCAGCTACCATTTGCCTCAGACCAACTTACAATTTTCAGGCTCCCCCATGATCTGGAATGATCTGTACTTAGCAAAATATTTCTTGCTGCCAGCATCCTCAAAATCTATGTGCAGCTTGTTATTTCCTAACGAGCATGGGACAAAGATGAAATTGCTGGTGCCTCCCATGAAGTCATTCATGTACTTCTGAGGATTCTCATCCATGCAAACATGGAGTACTAGCCAAGGGCTGCCTTCCCTAGTTCACTGTTCTCCCTTCCACCTCACCAGCTAGCTTTTGTATCATTGAATAATTCTTTGAGAAATCCGTTCTTTAATAAGGAGCCTTTTCCTGGATCCAAGCATCTCATATAGTTGCCTGTTTCACAGGTGGTGATGTTGTGGAAAGATTCCCGACTCTTATGCATCAGCACATCTCAGTTCATTCAGAACTTCACTGGGAGATGGGTGTGGGCAGTCCCGAGTGTACCCTCAATGTGTTCTGTGATTACACGCAGGTGAATTGGCTTCTTAGGCAGTGCACTGGAGGGGTGAATGCAAGAGCCGTGGGGAGCAGGCCTTACTCTGCATTTTTGCACCTCCTGACTGCACAGATGCCTGGTAAACTGCATGCAATCTGCCTGGCCATGCCTGACAGCTTGCAAAAGTTTTGGTGTCCCTGCTCCCCAGGGCAATCTCTGCATGGTGGGGACCAGGCTAGAAGACTATCTGCACTCTCAGAGCATCTGGTCATAAGAATTGCGATAGCCTTATATCCATGCTGAAGTACGGATAAACCCTCTCTGCCTTTGTTTAGGTGCAATCATGGTACCCCTCCTTCATAAAGCGCTTAGAAGTTCTCAGACAAAAGCAGCAACGGTGTGTGATGTCAGCCTTCTCTGCTATGGTACAAGATAAGCTCTCCATCCTCTTAAATTTCAGGGATAAACCTTCCAGGAGACACAGAAATGTGGTTCAAAAGGGAAACTTTTTTACGGAATCAGGTAGTGAACTTCAGCATGGTCTAGTCAGCAAGGCAGAGATGTTGTTACCTGTTTTCATGGTAATGGAGGCTGGGGCTAATGTCTGGCTGGGTGATGGGGGGTTTTAGATGCAGGTGGCAGAACGTGACACCTAAGTCAGCAAGTATGTGAAGACAGAGCCTCCATTTATGGGTGAGCCATCCCTTATGTGTCCGTTATAGCCTTCTTTTTGCTTCTTTTGATGCTTTCTGTATAGGCTCCTAGAGGCAGGGCCATGACTTTAACAATACATCAGCCTAGTCTCATATGCTAGTTCTGCTGTCTACTGGCAAGTCTCTAGCAGGAGCAAATAAAATTTTGTTGTTCTTGACTTTTCTGCAATGGAAGAAATGCCCCGTGATGCTAGTAATGCTGTCTGGTACTCAGTGTTTCTCCTTTGTGGACTTAGTCCACAGCACTAAATTATAAAGTGCATACTTATTGACCCATTGGCCCCAGACTGGCTTTTTAAATCTGGAAATGGGATATAAAGTTTAGTCTATTCACTAGATCAGATTCAAACATAAGCATTTTCCCAGGAGTTAACTGTACAGTTTATATTTTCCACAGCTTCTCCCACAGTTCTCCCAAAAGGCACAGATGAGCGGTCAGTTGTAGGTGTTAGCCAAGAAGATTAATTGGGAAGTGTAGTGATATCCATTGGCTCACTCAATTGTCCCCATTACCCAGCAGAATAAAATAAATAAAGCCTTTTGAGAAGTTTGTAAGCTCTTTGTTTACTGTTTACTGACAGTCATTTAATCTAGTTCTACTTTGATCAAACAAACACCTTCCAAAAGAGCTATACCTGCCCAAAAATCCATAAACAACATGTCATCTCTACCTCTGTAGAAGCCCTGCCATGTGACTGCTGGACAAGATTTCGGGAAACATCTGTCTTGGAGAGCAAACATTTAGTTATAAGGAGATTGCTACAGCAGCTGTAATTTTTTGAAATCTTGACATTTCAGAGTTTTATTTATTTCTAAAAATGATTAACAATGAAAAGCAGCTTACATGAACTATTCAGATATCCTCAAATCTTTTTTTCACAATTCTTTTCCGCTGTACTTTGTCCTGGACTACCTGAATGATGGAACTGTTGGTTAATAGGGAGGAATTAGCATTCCAAATGGCTGAAAGTATAAGGCTTAGGGATAGAAGCAACACTACACTGATACAGAGATGGCAAATGAAGCTGACAAAACGAACTGGATGTAGATCACTTTATGCTGCGTTAAACTGGGCGAAATTTCATTTCGGTCTGTTTGTAGGAGTAATAATACCCTTTGTCTGCCTTCCAGATTATACCATCTGCAAATGTCTCATGTTCTCCATTCTTATACTGCCCATTTAAATTGGAATCTAGGCAATCATTGAACCACCAAGCACCTTTGTAGGTTGTTGCACACTGATTCGACTGAGGATCTTGATCTCGGTCTTTAGTTGAAAATGGCATCATATGGTGGACTGATAATGAATCCCCTGCAAGAAAGGATCAGCATTTATGGCGAAGTGCACTCAGGCTAGCATGGCAGTGTCCAAATCTACTACCAAAAGGTGGACAAAGCATTTTAACAACAGTATCCAGTTATAAAAGTATCCAATTATAAAACAGTATCCAGTTTTAACAACAGTATCCAGTTATAAAATCTTTAGCATTTGAGTGTACAACTGAATTTAATCTTGAATTTGTACAAAAGTTCAAAGTGATATAACTTGAGTCTTCATATTGAGGAATATACATATCTTTCTATCATAAAAATATTGCTCTGTAGTTTAAGCACAGAGATTACTTCCCATAATTTCAGCCAAAATCAAAATTAAAATTAAGCCTTTGCCCAAGAAAACTCTGTGAGTATGTCTCTCAAAAAGCAGCAGAACCTGTTTGAAAAACAAAAAGTAACTATCTAGTCCTTGAGTATGAACATTCAATACGTAGGAAAGAAAAGATAATATTGCAAATTACGTGCACTATATAAGGCTTTTCAAACCTTGTACTAACTCTGATAGCAGCTTGGATTGAGAAGTGCAGTAAACAATAAGCATGTAAATGTACTAAAGTATTTTAAAAACTCTCTCTCTACCCTTAGCGTTAGAATGGAGGGCCCTTTTCTGTGCCTAACCAAGTGAGGTCTGCTTTTATTTTATCTGAACCGGTTTATTCATTTGTAATAAGATCCTTTTGAAATTCATAGAAATCAATCTCTGAGCTATTGAATTAGTCATACTTTAGTTACACTGATGTTAATGTAAAATGGCCGAGTGAGGACTAAGGAAGAGTGGATTGTGACTTCAGGACTGATATGCAAGAGACAGCAGCGTTTTTTCATGGGAACTAGTTTGTCTTGCTTACGCTGTAGCTACTCTTCAGTGCCGCTGCTTTGTTTGTCAGATTTTCTTTTGCTATGAAAGTTTGTGACAATGCCCAGCACTCACCTGCAGTACCTAAAATGAAACTTCCAAGACTCAGCTTATAATTTTCTCTCTCTGAAAATACTTTGAATAATGCATACTTGGCAAACGTGCGTTTGTAATCGAAATCCATGAGGTCAATGCGAAGTTCCTGAGTACCTACAAAGAGCAGATCTGAAAGTGAAACATTCACTCCTTGTTTTCCAACATCGTTTTATACCTGTAAGACAGGCTTCTGAAGGCAATGAGTCAGAAAAAGTCAGAGTTGCTACTCAGTACCATCAGCTTCCCCCTTGACTTTTCCTGCACCCCTTCCTTTCCCCAGAACTATTTCCTACTTGTGTTGGTTAAAAAGATGCCACCTGAATTGGACATATTTGAGGAGATGCATCAGAATGACAATAAGCATAAGTAAAGGCATGCTCAAAACTTTGCCTGGTGAAGCCTAACTCAGAAGAGTTTAGCTGAGAGATCTCTGAAGATGTTGTCTTCAGAAACATCAATTGAAAAACTAATAATAACCCGAAGAAACATCTCAATTGTGTTGAAAACCTGGTTGATTAAGTGTCTGGTGTAAACCATACTATGAGTGTCTGGGAATAAGGGTCTTAGCTCCACTCCATACTTTCTGTGTAGCTTCAAGCTTCTTGTTTGTGAAAGTAACAAAAGAAGCCTGGACAAGAGACCATAACCAGAGCAGCCCTTACACCTCCCAGCGATTGTGCTTCAAGCCTGCCAGGCAGGATATCTTTGTGTAAATGTAAGACATGGATGAATTTTGACAGACAAGTTATTTGTCCACTGCCTCACAATTCTGTTCGTGCAAGTGTGACTACAGTAGCCACTCTGAACTGATTAGCTCTGCATATAAATTTTTCTGGCAAAGACTGCTTGTGGATAATATTATCTGTTACAGCCTATACCATTGTCCTATGTAATGGTCATCCTCATGGCTACTGTTTCCATTAAGAGCCCACCTACACAAAATTAAGATGGCAATTATGATTCTACAGTCTAGTGTCTCTTTTCTTGCCTAACAGGCAGTTTAGACTTCTTAATCAAATACAATTCTATATTAAGTATGGAGGGAGAAGCTGATGGGGCAAAATGCATGAAAAACATGATACTTACCAAACAATGACAGAAGGTGAATATATTCATTCCCTAACCAGAAATCTGTTATGTGGCTGCCAAAACCTTTCTTATATTCTTCCCAGTCGCGGAAAAAATCTACAGAGCCATCTATTCTTCTCTGAAAAACCTTTGGAGAGGTCAAAGAAAGTCAGACATGGGATTTTTGGACTTTAAGAAACAAATTGTCTTGTTGATTTATGTTTTGCTGATTTAACTGAAATTTAATTTGGGGGAAAAAGCAAAAAGATGCTGTCAGAATTGTAAATGATCCCAATTTGTTCAAAACTCATTTAACTTGAAAGACTTTCTTTGGAAACGTTACCATTACTGACTGCAGCAGAGAGAAAACTTCCTTGGCCTTCCTTCTAGGCTCTCACTTTACCCTTATCATTTTTATTTTTTTCTTGATTTCTAAGGAAATAGTATTAAGCTAATTACCAGTTCGGGGCACCAGCCTCCATTTTTGCTTAACCACATCCCAGCTGTTTTGAGACTATGAAGAGACTTGTAGTACAGTAGAGTCAGAAGCCATTTTGCTTGTAATTTTGCTTTAGAAATCCTGAATCTTTATGATAGTATGCAGAAAACTGATTTCATTTTCAGTTTTCAAGAGGTTATTACACAATGCTGACAAACAGGTGAGGTCCTCTCTAGGAATAAACTTATTCAAACAAAATCTATCCCACCCCTAATGAAATCCATTAGATGTTTTCTCTACAAGTACTTTCCTTTTCACTCTTACTTACTATCCATCCACCTCCTTCCGTATGCATGTCACACAATACATTGATGGCCATACAGTTTGGGAGATATAGGGTGTACCAACCACTCATCCTGTTTCCTTTGTCTAACAGTTCTTTGCAGCTCTTTTCTCCTGCACAGGAAGACAAGTAATTGTTATTAAAGAAGTTTGCAGTAAATTCCAACAAAGACAGTTTGAGCGCTTCTTATGGAACTAGATTTTTTAAAAAGCTATTTCCTGATTTTGCAAAGCCTAAAGTTATGGAAAACTGGATTAAACTAGTTTTCTGAAATCCTTGCTAGTATTGGGGAAAAAAAACAAACAAACCGTCAGGAAGCTGCTGTTTACATGTAAGTATCTTCTTCAGATTCAAGATGGCAAAGTAGACAAGGATTCACAGTAGATTCTAGTCACTAAGCCATCTTCCAGGATAACCTTATGCATTATGATCTATAGGGGTCCTGATAAAACTAAACACTTTATAGGCCAGAAATGCTAACAGACCAGAAAAAAAGAGACTAGAACACAAGCATCAGCAGAATTCGGAGTGAATTACATATGCTTTCCAATGTATTTCTGTTGCCTCAGTTTTACTTTGCACTTTGTATCTCCAAAGAAATAAAGTAGCAACGCACGTAATGTGAGATGGAAACACTCACCTGTGAGACATGAACTGATACCCTCGTGTCCTATTCAGGAAGAGAAAAACAGTGGTGGATTGGAACATGTGAAATGACCATAGGGATAGTAAAGTATCTTGGTAGAGCCTAGCTCTCTCACCTACTCAAGACCATGGCCTAGAGTTTTTATCACAGCAGATCATAGACCCTCCTTTCCCAAATGAAGAAGAATATTAGAGACTCCATTAGAGACAACAAAGTCAGTCCAGACTATGTCAGTGAAGGATACGACCTTCTGTCACTGAAGACCATGCTGTTATATCTAGGTACATGGTTCTGAACTTGGATTTTAATCAGCACCATAAGGTAGATAATATTAAGTCCTCTTCCCCAACATCTATCAGACTCACACTTAGTTTTTGGGAATTTACCTTTGAGGACAAAAGGCTGGAACAGTCTCCTGTTGCCGCTGGCATTGAGGGTTCCAGTGAATCCCTCAGGAATAGAGAGTGGCTTATTTTTCTCAGCATCTATGTTTTTGACCTCTGGAGACATAAATTGATAATGGTCACAGCTCTTGCACAACCTGAAAATTGTATAGTCTAGAAGGAAGCATGTGCTGCTCCTGAAATCAGGCAGCGCTCCAGTGGTTTTTGCTAGTAATGAAATGATACGTGTTTGTGGTCAAGTAGAAACACAAGTCCAGGTAGGTTTACTTCCTCCATTTCCATCCCCCATGCTAGATTATTTTTTCTTGCTCCTCCTGCACAGGGCACAACAGAGAAAACTCTTAGTTACCTCAGCTCTGTCCTTCTCCTCTAACAGTGAGTTTACCTTTTTAGCTGATCCCATTTGTCCTTTACTCCATCTTTCCCCTCCTACACAGACAAGAATGTTAAGAGCTTCCATAGTTAACCCAAAATGGGATTTGCATTTAAAGCCAGGAATTGAACCAAGTACATAGTCATATGAAGGGAGCACTGAACAACAGATATTTCCTTTACCTAAAGGTGCAGATTGAGATAGCCAAGTCAATTTAACAGTGGTGCACTGTCAGAAGAAGTGGTCAGACTCCACTCCCAAACTCTCCATCTTTGGCCGTGATCGTTTTCCTGACCATTTTCCTTCTGTGTGAGATCCAGTGTTCTTGCGCTCACAGGAGATATCAATTCAGCTGGCTAATACAACAGCAAATGCTTCTGGTTTTGCCAGAACAGCCAACAGTGCTAACACAACCTCTAGCCACATGAACACACAATGTAACGAAGGAGAAGCAGGTGAGCGTATAGCCAACAGCAGAGGTTTAAAAAAGACTTTAAATAAGTTGAATGGCCCTCACCATTAGATCAATTCAGCTATAATGTGATCCTCTAAGAATCAGATTGTTAGATAAATCAGTTTTGTCTTTTACTCACCTTGGGCAATGGCCTGATGCTCATACACTACTGCTGTGAGGCTGAGTAAAGCTAGGAGGGTTTGCTGGGCAGCTCTTCCCATGGCTGGTGCTGGTCTTTACAATGAGAATTTCACTTGTCTTCTCCTCACACTCTCTTGTTGTTTATTCCTTACAGAAAGGGAATTACAGCATAAAAGCCCTCCTACACTGTTTCCTGCCCCTTCACTAGCTAAGCCTTCCACTGGTTCTTCCCACAGAGATTACAGTGAAGATAGAAAGCTTCATTTGCAAGTGCAGAAAGCCCCGATAAAATTTGATTTAAAAAAATGGAGCTTTCTGTGGCTCTGATACTCTTGCTGCTTTTTGGAGCATTCTACTACAGAGTTATCAAGAGCTTTTTTATAAAAGTTTATGATGAATTGGCCATGAATCACAACTTCACACCCTCCTAGATGTGCCATGGTACAACTAAACCAGCTGGTAGATTTGTAATGAGGGATAGCCCTCAATGATGGCTACAAGAACCACATTTCTATGGGCAGAGCTGGAGATGTGAACAAAAAGGCCATCGCCAATCTAATGGGGCTGGAGTTTCCTTTTCCTTGGTTCTTTCCACTCTTTTTCAGGTTCCCTAGAGATTGGAGCCCTCCTCCAAAGGATCCACACAGATTCCTGTCATCACCCTGCTGTAGAAGCTACCCTCTTGCAGTAACACCATCTCATCCCTCCCATACTAAGGTCTAGTCACCAGTCCTGCCATTCTGATGACTAGTGCCCTGCAGTATTGGCTAGAAACTTTCTGTGAAAATATAATTTTGCTGGAAAATGTGAATTTGTCAATATTTAGAAACCTTACTGGCACTTGAAGGAACTTGAATGAAGGAACAAACAGTTTTCCATTCAGCGCCTGCCTGTCTTCTGAACAGCTTAACTGATGAGCTGCTGTAGAGGATGGGTTGGAATATGCAAGTATTAATGTTTGTAGTTTTGAGGAGCCTTGTAAAAGTGCACTATCCATGGTGACCAAGATTCCTTGCAATCCCAGTATTAACTTGAATTATTCACAACCTGATGAATACAAACAGCTTGTGGAATCTGCTGACTTAAAATTGAGAATGTGAATATGCTGGTCTGGGAGTCTGAAAGCCCTGGGAGAGACAGCCCTAGCACACCGCACTGTGGGGTTCTCATGGAGGTGCAGGCACCAGCTGCATCATCGCATTTGTAACGCATTCACAGCTGAATAGCTCTCGTGAAATTCTTGAGGTCCCACATGGAACAGATACTGTTTTGGAGACATGATATTCTAATTCCAAAACCATTTTTTCCTTCAGAATTGATATTTTGTAGGAAATTTCAGAAGGCAGAGGTTTCAAGCAACAGATTATTGAAATTCAGTTAGCTCTCTCCCAGGGCTGTTTCAAGGTAGAGACAATATTTCAAAATATGGTAACCCACACCTTCTTTTCCAAGCCTCCCCACCATCTCTAGAGCAACATCCGTCTGCATCGTGATGTGAAAGACGTGGTCTGAAGGGTGCCTCGAGCACAAGCTCTCCTGCAGTGGAAGACCATGAACAGAGACACACACCTCCCCAAAACTGCACGCTCACCCTGCATGCTGTGGTTCTCCCGCTCGTACACAGGGTTCCTGGCCTCTCATACCGTAGTTTAACTAGCTGTGTATTCTCAGTAGGATCAAGCTGCAGAAGGGGGATTCAGAGGTCCCTGAAATGGGTAGATATAGCCACTTCTTGCTTCTCCTTCTAAATTAAATGCTATTAAATCCATTCAGAGGAACAGTTACAAGAGATGAGGGCTGCAGCAACAAGCAATCTATACACATTCATAGTTAGTCCAAAACTTAGCATTTCTGTCAAACCTCAGCATAGACCTAGCTCAGTTAGAGGCCTTGCACAATGCAAGCTGGAGTCCATCTAGGCCTTCAGTAGATTGCCTCTGCTTTGAGTTTAGGGTTTAGGTTTTTAATTTACTCACAAGTCCTTTGTTTAATGAATCCTGCCCGATCCCTTGCTATTCCACTGCCATCATAACTCACTGTATTGGGCTCAGTTCAGACCACTGACCTCTGTTTTCTAGTGCAATGTGCTCTAGATGACCCTGCTTGAGCAGCGGGGTTGGACTAGATGATCTCCAGAGGTCTCTTTCAACCTTGGCCATTCTGTGATTCTGTGTGATTCTGTTTTGTTAGCTGAGACTTGGACTTGAGGTCTCTAAAACCACTTTCTGACTTTCTTCCAGAAGGAGGATAGCACCTTCTCATTTCTCTTTTGTACAGAGGGAGCACATCAGACAACAACCGCAAAAGAACATGATCTCCTACCTTCTTTGTTATGACAGTCTGTATTCTCAATTAAAAAGCCGCTTTGATTCCTTGCCAGAAAGAGCAAAGGCAAATGATTAATCCATTACAACAAAAGACTACTTAAGAAATAGCACCCAGACCTGCAGTTATAAAAAAGCAAAATGAAAGTTTCGTTTCAGCTTTAATGACTTTCTCAGCCCCTGATTCTACCCATGAGCTACCCAATTGTCACTACCAGCCTGGGTGCTGTTTCATTTCTATTTATTTGGGAAGAAGGATTATTTGTACATAAAGAAATTAAATTGGAGAGTTCAATACATACAAATCATAATTAAAAGGCATCTTAAAACTAGCAGTTAAAAATAATTCAAATAAAGAAGAGGGGATCACAGCTGAGACCACAAGACAATACCACAGCATACACAGAATATAAGGGAAAGAAATTAAAATACTCTAACATATTTTTGCCTACAGGAAAATGTAAAATCTGAGAAATAACACTTATGTATTCCCAGCTCAAATTAAGATTTAAAAAAGATTATTATTTACAGGGAAGTGTACTGCCTTCTTTCCCGGAAGCTGGCATTTATACTGTCATGTTTTTGGGGCCTTCCAATTCTAATAGTAGAAGTGTTGCGTCACAACCACTCATTGAAGTGGCCATTTCTTGAAATCACGCAGTTTCAACATCCAAAGACAGATCAGGATCAGGAGCTTTGAACTCAGAGCTTGCTCTTCTCAAAATCTAATGAAGCAGTGCTGCTGAACATAGGATTTCCAGCCTCATAGAATCCATGCCCATGTGGACACCTCAGAGCTGTTAGTCAACAGCAAGCTACTACTGTTTGAAATTTCATGGAAGGATACCTTCTACATCCTCCTGGCTTTGGGGCAGTCCTCAAGCATCTGAGGTATGAGAACCAATCATTTTCATTACTGTATGATCTGTTGCACTATTCATGGAGAAAGTGGCCAACAAAATTTGGGTTTCATTCAGCAGAAAAGAGCTCATCTCAGAATATTTATTAGCTGTAACTGAGAACATCTTTTAAGAACTCCATCTTTAATTAATACCCTTAATGTAGTGCAAACTCAGACCAACCTGTAGAAGGACCTTCCATTCTTCCTACTCAGGTTTCATCAGCTACAAGAATTTTCTGAGCTCACTTGCTGTGCAATTCAGCTATTATAACTTTAAAAATGAAAAACAAGAGTGCACAGGATCTCATGTAGTACACCAATGCCTCCTCCATCTTCTAGAAAAGAAGAGGCAAGTTCATATTACTGCATGCCCTTTCAGAGATTGGCACAAAAGCACTGCAGGCTTAAAACTAGTAGCTATTGCTAGAGTCAGATGGTAAGCAGCCAGATTGAGAAACGCAGATCCACCTCCGCCTCTTCCCCTCTTCGCCCTTTCTTCTAATGTTTGTTAGTTAATTGTTGTTTACACAGT